AAGAAGAAGAAGAAGAAGAAGAAGAAGAAGAAGAAGAAGAAGAAGAAGAAGAAAAAGAACAACAACAACAACAACAACAACAATAACAACAACAACAAAAACAATAACAACAAAAACAATCACCACTACCACCACCAAAAACAACAACAACAACAACAACAACAATAACAACACAATTACACCACCAACAACATCAAAAATAACAACCACAGGAACACCAAAAATAACCACCACCACCAAAACAACAACAACAACAACAACAACAACAACAACAACAACAACAACAACAACAACAACAACAACAACAATAACGGCGGTGACATCTCTTCGGGCAGGATTCAGGGAGGTGGGACTGCCTCACCCGCACCCAAGGGAGGCGGTGGCCCTGGCGAAGAGCACGCTCTTTGGGGCTCCAAACAGTTCGAACGGATAGGCTACCACACACATACAACAACAACAACAAAAACACCAACTACAACAACAACAACAAAGAACAACAACAACAAAGATCAACAATAACAACAACAACAAAACAAAAACATAAAAAACAACCACCACCACCATCACCACCACTACCACAATATCAACAACAACAACATTGCCCCCTTGTGATGAACCTGTTAGCCTGCTCCGGGAACTTGCGGGTCCTGTTGAAGTACTGGAATGGGTTGTGGGAGGCACTCAGGAGATCCAGGTCCACATCAGACGGGTAAATGGGTTCGAACTCCGGCCTGCAGGACGGGACCCGAACGCCTAGTGGTCAAGGAAAGGAATGGGGAATAGGACAGATTAAATTATGGATATCTGGTTAAGTTTAGCGTCGGTAAAAATTGTACGGTGCTAGGAAATGAATGTGGAATAGGACAGATGTTACATTAAGGATATTTGGTTATGTTTAGAATTAGTAAAAATTGTACTGTACCAGAAAATGAATGGGGAATGGGACAAATGTTAAATTACGGATATCTGGTTTAGTTTAGTGTTAAAATTGTACTGCACTAGAAACGCAAAGTGATTATATAAAAGCCATAATATAATATTATAGATGTTACTAGTACTAGAAAGTAACGAGAAAGAAGTAGGACAGCAGAAAAGGACAATAGATGTTTAATAGGAAAAAAGGAGAACACCACACCAGAGCACCCGCCAACGATCCGCATGCAAGATTCGCACTGCACTAGCAGTTACTAGCACCACACAGAAGTCAAATAATGGTGTAACTATAATAATCTTATAACAAACAAATGAAAGAAAGAGGAAATATAAAAATAATAGGTGTTTTGATAGGAAAGAATGAGCAAGCCAGACCAGAGCACCCGCCAACCACCAACAAACAGATATCTGACATCTGCAGACGAGAATTTTAATTAAGAGTGCATGCTACAAGGTCAAGTTATGAAAGTGTAGCGGAAGGAAATGTTTCTTCCAATGCCCCTAACATTTGGAACTCCCCACCCCAAAAGAAAAAAATCTATTTTAAATTATACATTGTAATGTCAATAGAAAGAGAGTTTAAGAAAAGTATTTAAATAAGGCACATTTATTCAACGCTGTCCCCTGCCAAAAGTTTTTGTATGTGAGAATGTGCGCGTGTCTGTGTGCGTGTGTGTGTTTGTA